CTATGTATATTGTACCATCAAATTTGGTATTTTATTAAAGTATGTTATAGGTCATAGACATATCTTGTTTTATTATTATAGTTTACGTCGAATCAGCTAAACTACATTAAAATCATCTTCAAATGAGATATACAAGTATCCAACATAAACGTTACGGAATAGGCTAAATTTAATATAATGAGTTGATGTGCAAAACGTCAATCAGAAGAGCGTAATTGATGTTATTTGGGATATGAGATTAAGACCAAGTCTAGATCAACTCCATTCATGTTCATCGCTAAACCATAAACATAATAAGGTTTGTTAAAATAAGGGAATTTATTATGTACAGGGTGGCTCACGAATCGTGCTACAAAAACGAACCGTAATAATTTTTTTATTTATTTTTATCAATGCACTACATTTATGTTTCTTTATTGTATAGCAAATTTTATATTATTTTATATACTTGTAATTAATCATCTTTAAAAATTATTAACCGTTAATGACCTCCATGTTCAGCCACGCTTATGCGACACCTAATTTAGAAATTATTCATTACGGCCTGAAAGGTTAAAGTCGGGATTGCCCAAATTATCGATTAATTGGACTGCTTCAATTCAGTCAGATTTGTGGGTTTTGTTTTGTACACCTTTTGATTGACATGACGCCTTAAAAAACAGTCTGGTGCAGTCAGATCAGGTGACCTTGGGGGCTAGCAGAAAGTTGAGTTCTGAGTAAACAATTTTATTCAACATCTTTAAATAACAGAGCCCATTGACAGTTACCGTTATACTGTTTTCTTCAAAGAAGTATGGTATTTGATTCACTCCATATACGGCAATTTTGCTTGTTTCCATTTCCGTTTAGATTAAAATGGTCCTCATCAGACATAAACAGGCAATTTATCAAGTTATTTTCTTGTTCGGCCATTTCAATTCATTTTTGGCAAAATGTCAGGCGAATAGGCAGTCAGACGGTTTAACCGGCTTGTTATTTGATTTTTTTACTATAACAGGTTTAAGTCATCATGAATTATCCGTTGTAATGACCGCAACCTGGAGTTGCGAGTCGAAACTCTTGAAGTTGCCTGAATTGACGACGCAACATCCGCGATTGTTTCTTGAACACGGACATACGGAACTCGATGGTGCGGCCTTTCAGATTCGGCAAACATGTTTACCAACCTCATAATGGTTTATCTATTCGGGGGAGTGCCGCCAAAATCCCGTCTGAATTCCTTTTGTACGAAAACGATGAACTGCAAAGCATGGTACCGCTGCACTATCCAAACCCTCTTTTCGGTATTCCAAGCATTCATTTTTAAAAAATTTAAATAATAACCTGCCAAATAAGGAAAAAGTAAGTCAATTACTCACACAGGAAAAAGATTATTACGGATTGTTTCTGTAGCACGATTCCTGAGCCGCCCTGTATGTATGTTGTATGATATAATTTAAGCATTAAACCTAAGTACTTATATCCAATATTATAAGTTCGGTTAATTTTGCTATCTTACATATTGACCGATATATACGGTGTAAGATCAACCGGAAGTTTGAAAATCTATAATTAAGTATTATATATGGCAGATAGGTGAAGTATTGATCCGATTTTATCTATTTTTTTCATTACTACACATTATTAACAGAAAAAGGTGCTCTTTGAATTCATTAAGATACCTCACATGCCATCAACAATATATATGTAAAGTCTAAAGGATGTTTGAAAATGCTGATATTAGTTATATGGGGGCTATGGCAAATTTCCAATCTGATTTATCGTCGTAACCCAATATATTAATTTGGGCTTCTTTTGTATACAGGAAAGTGAAGGAAAAGTTGTATTATATGGAAGTAGACGTGGTTGTGATTTTGTCCATTTTCGCACAGTAAAATATGAATATCAAAATAATCATATGTACCAAATTTGGTGGAAATTAGTAAAGTAGTTCCTGTCCTTGTCCAATTTTCATATAGCTCCTATAAAGCCTTTCTATACAATCTAAGTTGCGAAATGTAATGCTGGAAGCGCATTTATTCAGTGCGTTTCGCACTTTAAGTTTTCAACATAACCATTATATGAGGATTTCACAGGGTATGAAAAAGCGATAAAAGGACTTCTTCTCAGCAAGTTTGGCTGAGTTAGCTTTCACAGTTTGGGAGAGATGTGCATTAAACCATTTACGGGACGAGGCCACGTCCAATTTTTAAAATGTGTAACCCACAGGTGGCGCTTGCTTCGGTGATCTCCTGTACAAAATAACAACTTTGTATCTTAATTTAGCGCTTAGTTATGGCATTTTATAGTATAGTATATAGTATTATTTTCATTTAATAGCGTTTTGCGTCCGCCAAGGAACACGTGTACGAAGCTTCATTAAGATATTTTAGTTTTTACTCAAGTTATCGCATGCACGGACAGACAGTCACTCGGAACTTCAACTCGTCTCGTCTTCCTGATCGTTATACTTATATACCTATATCTTAAACAACGGTTAGGTTAGGTTAACGATGAACAAAACTTTTATATTTTCTGTTGCAACACGTTGCGGGAGTATAAAAAAATATTTGACAATTGGATTTATTTTTTGAACACACCTCGTTTATATGCAATTGTGTGCATGGGAATGTATTTGGCTTCGCAAATGAGCCCTTGAGTGGCGTTTTAAGTGTTTTCCGTCGCCGTGTCTGCGTTCAGTGGCCTGCGCATGCGTGTCAACAGCCACGAAGAAAGGAGCAACAAAAATTGCTTGCAACAATTACAGTGCGATGTGTAATTATCCATTGCCAACCAGCAGTTTGCAGCAGACACTCTTCTTGCAACTTTTTGTCACTGCTGTTGGTTGTCTTTTTGCTTTTGTTGCTTGTACTTGTGTTTATCACTGCTCATTCCATCGCACTCGGTGTCTCTGAGGATGACAGCAATTTCCAACTGCACTTGGGGCTTAACGCATGCGTATATGAACGGGTTTTATCTAGCCTGCCTTATTATTGCATGTGCTTTTCTTGTCACTCGGCATTAGCGCTGCGCCAAACGCAACAACAATATCAGCAATTGCCATGGTCGAGCGTCAAGCACTTAGCGAAAGTGTGTCACAGTGTGAAGGCAAACATGCCGGCTGCCGGTTTCAAAGCGACGCTTACCGTATAGCGGTGCACAATGCTCAGTGCCGATGTCAGTAGCTGCTGGGGTAACAGCAAATAACCGTTGCAAGCAGCCATGCTGCACCGCACGTCACGCGTGTGCCACTCAGCTGTGCAGAAGCGCGTCGTCATTTATATTCGCATTAAAACTCGGCACCGCATCCGCTTGTTTTTCGGCACCTTCATCGTCATCGCCTCAGAAATCACTCTCTTTATTACATTATACTTATACATATGTGAGTATATAAATAATTTTAGTGATTTATATGGCTTAATTCATTATCTGTCGCAGCTGTCTCCAGAAGTGAATGACTTCGTCTTCGTTTTGTCTATTCTATTTGTATGTGGGACTATCTTCAATTTTTATACCATCGTATCATGTTAACTAAGTATGTACATTTGTGTATCGGTTTTTTGTAAATCCTTAACTTATCAAGGATGATTAATTATGATTCAGCTTGTCTAATCGTCCTTCGAACCGGCGATAGCTTCGGTTAAATATAAATGTCTCCAATATGATTGACTATTATTTCTCAATGATGCATAGAAGTACATGAATGCCTAATTTTCTTAATCAAAGTATACTTGCTTCAAAAGCGGTGTCGGTTGCCACTTCGTTTACAACACATATACATATACATACCAGAGAATTGCTGCGCTGCACCGCAACAATGTGTAAGCCGCATGCTTACTTGCGAATTATATAATTAGATATCTTACATATTAGCCGATATATACGGTATAAAGCAAACCGAAAGTTTAAAATACTTATAACGGGTATTTAGGGGCTAGGCGTAGTATTGACCCGATTTTATTCCTTCCACGACATACTCTAACCACAAAAATATGTTCTATGAGTTTCATTACGAAACCTCGCAGATCGCTAAAGCCAACCGGAAGGTTTTAAACTTAAAATGGGTATATGGGGGCTAGGTATAGTATTCAGTAGCCATTTTTGATAGTAATGGCCCGATTTTACCCATTTTTAACATAGTGGCATTATTATAAACATATTTTCTCCGAATTTCAATACTAGACAATTAGACGCGAGATGGAGTGCCTAAAAGGCACTATTTTTGCAAATATTTTTTCCAATACCATCATTGGCTCTCGATTTATGAACTATAAAATAAAAAAATAAGTTTGAATTTAAAGTTGTTATATATAGGAAGTATTATAAGAATGTCACGCAATAAATTTGGTATTAAAAATTGGTTTAGTAGTTCCTGAGGTATAGGATTTCACCTATAGGTCGACGCTGCCACGCCCACTGTTCAATTTCGGTAACCACTCCCTTCTTACTATATAGGATATGAAACATCATGCTACTATCGCATTTATTTAATAAGATATTGCGCTTTTTGTAGTTAACCATACATGAGTGTTACATGGGAAATGGGCGGAATTATCACCCGATTTTTTTTACCATTTTCACTGTGTAAAGAAGTGTTGTAAAGATCTGTCCTAAGCGAGCTTGCCTTTTATAGCTTTAATGGTTTGTGTGATAAGTATATACTCGTACATTAAACCTGTTAGGGGGCGGGGTCATTCCTAATTCTACAAAGTTTCAAACCACAGACGCATCTCTCTACTAGGATTTGCTACATTAAATTGCAGTTTAGTATCTTAATTTGCGGCTTAGTTATGGCTTTTTATAGATTTTAGAATAACTGCTATTTGTGGGTATGACAATAATCCAACACAGCCCATAAGCAATACCAACCTCTCTTAGGTTCCAAGGAACGTATGTAACATATGTACCTAGTTTCATCCCGATATATCTATTTTCACTCAAGTTACAGATTGCAAAGAACAGACAGGCAACCACAATTCTCTCATTCTAATTTCGCTTTTTGTCTTTTCCTTTCCTTTTAGCCCAAATTGGCCGCACAACTAAAGGAAGCATTACGAATCCAGGCAGAACAGCGTATAATATCGCAACAACAACAAATACTTGACAAACAGCCATTTGTACAGGATGGACAGGTATTTTCATTTGTCAACCAATAAAATGTTAAAGTCAATTTTCAATAAAATTGTATTATACTTATTCCAGCCAATCATGCCAAAAAATTATGATCCTTTCTACAGTCCGATTCTATTAAAACTTGATAAAATCGTTGAGCAACTCGGAGTTACAGATGATCTCTGCAAGGAGCGTCTTATATGCAGCATGTATAAGGATCCAACGCGGTACAGTCCGCATAGTAATTTCGTGTCTGCGGAACTGAGTCGGTAAGTAAATAAAATGATGACATTGGAATGAAATTAACACCCAAACACTTTCATAATCCATTTAACTTTTACCTTCTGACTTTTCATGACGTCAATAATCGTTGGTTGGATAGGTGCGGTATTGCTTCAATATAAATGTGTATGTAGATTATTATTACTGATCAATGGTACCCACTTAGTTCACATTTGGTTCCAATATTGTTCCTAATAACTGTGGTACACTGCTTGTACAGAAATTCATTTTTCATTTTGGCACGGTAACAGTACCGAGCAGCAACAGCGGAGAGGTAGATAGAGCTCACGATATGTAGAAGTATACAACATATACTCTGAAAACCCAAGTGCTATCCAAGCCTATGCCAATTCGTTACTCTCACCTATTAAACGAGCAACTCAGTGCCTCACCTTTAGGTAATATAAGTAGGTGTATGCCATATATGGTAAATGTGTATCGGCTGCACTAAAAGAGTTGTACATGCGAATAATAAAATCCATCGAAGCTTAAAGCTGTCGGAAAAATTAGAGCAAGTTTGTCACCTTTTGTCATCATTTGTCAAAATGAGCGAATTGCAAAACGGCACTTAAGCGAATGTACTAGATAAATGTACATATACGTACATATCTCGCTCATTCATGTAAACATTTTAATGAAAATAATAAGTAAATACATTTACTCGTAAACGCCTGGAGACATATCTGATATATTTGCTCCAATAATTTCCAATTCAAAGCAACAATAGTGACGGAAATGTAAAAATATATTTTATGTCATGTGCAGGACAATAATAGGTTATTTATATTTTTTTGCTGTCAAACTGTCCGTTCGAACAGAGTAAAGTGTAATACTTCCATGGGAAACTAAATTTTAGTTACAAATATACTTTAGGACGACTTACTACTAAAAACCAATATTTTGGTTGTACCCATCCCAAACAGTAAATAATCATTATAACTCATGGAGAAAAGTCTGCTTTTTTGGCCATTGACATTTAGCACTGATTCGTAAGTCATCGGAAGCAATAAAGTGTTGAATATATAAATAAACTTCTGTCAGGTTATAAAGTGCATAGTATTTCCATGAGAAGGTGCCGCTAGACCTAACTTAGGACAAAGTAAGGACAACCTTTACAGCTGTCGGACACTTGGTTCATGAGACATGGTATTTTGGTGTCTTCAAAGGAATTTATAAACAAGATCCGTGTCCAATACATGTAGCCTACACTTAAAAAATAATAAAGCGGCGTTTTGAACAAATCGTTCATCGATATTTGAATATGTGAAAGCTTTGTGCACGTCGTTAAACAATGGAATCGAAAAATTTGTAGAACGCTTAATTGCGCTCGATCTATACTTTGATAAGTATAATCGTAGTAGATCCAAGTATTCAAAATACTTCATATTAAAACAAGAAAAAACACTAACTTTGGTTGTACCAAAGCTATAATACCTTTCACAAATACAAAGGTTCCTTACAAGATATTGATTCCGATCTAATTTCGTGAAAATACCTCCCCAAATAAAAAAGTTTTCCATGCAAACAGTTTATTCCGATCGTTCAGTTAATATGGCAGCTATATGATATCGGATGACTGATCTATACAATTTCTTCGGAGATTGCATTATTGTCTTAAATAATAATCCATGCCAAATTTCGTGAAGGCATCTCATTAAATGAAAGAGTTTTCCATACAATCACTTGATTCCGATCGTTCATTTTGTATGATGGCTATATGCTATAGTGGTCCGATATCGGCCGTTCCGACAAATGAGCAGCTTCTTAGGGAGAAAAGGACAGGTGTAAAATTTCATATCGATAGCTTCAAATATGAGGGACTAGTTTGTATACATATTTATATATACAGACAGACAGACAGACGGGCATGGCTAAATCAATCAGGATATCATGCTGAACATTTATGTATACATTTTATAGGGTCTCCGACATTTCCTTCCGGGTGTTAAAAACTTCGTTCAGGGTATAAAAAGCACGCATTTTTATTGTGCCTGAAATCATTATTTATGTGAAGACAATGAAATAATCTCCTTACATGTTGAGAAAAATATGTAACTACATTCTCTTTGTACTGCCAGACTTCATCTAAATTTTATGGAGAGAGTTCCCCAGCTACTTAAAAATCTACACATGCTCTTTGTGAAGCACGTACGAGCTTAAGAACATCTGTCGCTTTATTAGAGCTCAAAAGCCTAAAAGCACCAAGTATACTAACTTTCGAGCCATACATACTTATGTAAGTAAGTGACTCAATTATTCAGCTCACATGCGAAGCCACTGCGTCAAAGAGTAAACAAAGAATTTACGTACACGTGGTTGGCAAGTGACGGAGAAGTAAAACTTAAATTGAACGGTTTTACTATGAACATTTTTGAGTTTTTATACTCTCGCAACCTGTTGCTACAGAGTATAATAGTTTTGTTCACCTAACGGTTGTTTGTATCACCTAAAACTAATCGAGTTAGATATAGGGTTATATATATATAAATGATCAGGATGAAGAGACGAGTTGAAATCCGGGTGACTGTCTGTCCGTCCGTCCGTCCGTCCGTCCGTGCAAGCTCTAACTTGAGTAAAAATTGAGATATCTTTATGAAACTTGGTAGACATGTTCCTTGGTACCGTGAGACGGTTGGTATTGCAGATGGGCGTAATCGGACCACTGCCACGCCCACAAAACGCTATTAATCAAAAACAAATAACTTGCCATAACTAAGCTCCGCAATGAGATACAAGACTGTTATTTGGTTCATAGGATCACATTAGGGAGGGGCATCTGCAGTTAAAACTTTTTTTTAAAAAGTGGGCGTGGTCCCGCCTCTAATAGGTTTAATGTGCATATCTCCTAAACCGCTATTGCTATAATAACAAAATTCACTAGAAGCAATTGTTTTTAGCATTTCTATTGACGGTGTGAAAATAGTTGAAATCGGGTGGCAACTCCGCCCACTCCCCATATGACGGTACTGTTAAAAACTACTAAAAGCGCGATAAATCAAGCACTAAACACGCCAGAGACATTAAATTTTATCTCTGAGATGGTACAAATTGGCTTTATAGGAACCGTGTTCAAAATTAGTCAGTGGGCGTGGCACAGCCCACTTTTAGGTGAAAACCCATATCTTGAAATCTGCTCAACTGATTTCAACCAAATTCGGTGCATAACGTTCTTTTCATGTTTCTATGTCATAGTGCGAAAATGAGCGAAATCGGACTACAACCACGCTTACTTCCCATGTAACACCATTTTCAATTCCATCTGATTCTTTCACTTTCCACTATGCAAATCAGGTAACAATGATTATATCGGGGTAAAACTTTGCATGAATAATGCAATTAAAGTATGTCACCTATGCCAAAAATTGTCTAAATCGAACCAAAACTGTTCAAACCCCTAAGTACTAAATATGTGGACCCCAGTGCCTATAGTTGACCTTCTACCGAAAATATCAGTCAATCCACAAAGAAATCTTAAACGAGTATACCATTTGACTTTGCGAGAGTATAAAATGTTCGGTTACATCCGAACTTAGCCCTTCCTTACTTGTTTAAGTTACCTTTTCTCATTCTTTGCTTCATTACGTATCATAACCCAATCTATCATTCATGGTTGGAATCAGATTTTAAGCTATTTTTTATAGCTTTATTACGATTTTAACTCATAATCCCTATCAAAATTAGTCAAATATTCCGATCATTAGTCAAATCAAAGAGCATCAATACCGCGATATTTTGGCCGACTATTTAAGCAGTGGTAAAACTAGGTAACATTAAAAGCACATATAAATTAGTTTAAAGGATTTTTAATAATTTTATTAAAAGTCCTATATTGAGTTTCCTTTTTATTTTTTAAACTATTATTAATAACAAAAGTATTATGAAGACTATTTCCAACAAAGTTTATAAAATATCTAATCAAAGTTAAAAATTCTAAATTCCATCCCATCATTAATCAGTATTGTCTATCATTTCTATGCCTTTACACGCACTCATCAACAACAACTATACAAAATGCTGACAATTGAATTTACGCAGTGACACAAGTGAATTGCAACCCGTGTCGAACTCGAACGGTGCCGTTGTGCGCTTTTACCGTTTCATACAAGCCGCTCGTGATGGACAGGATCAAAGAGACTGCCTACGCCTGTATCCACAGTGCAACATTAATACGGAATGAGCTACGTCTGGCGGCGACGCGAAAATGCGAATGACACAAAATCGATACGTGCGAGTACTAAAGTGAAAGCTACAAAGCGCAGCGTTTTAGGCGCAAAAATGCCAAAACAATAAATTTGACTAGCAGCTAAACGCAGCTAGCTTCGTAGGCACAACCAATAAGTCACCAGCAAAAACAAATTGTACAGCAATTTACCCACGTTGTCGAGCAGTTGAAAGATTTTCAATTTAATGCTCATTTGTTTTCTACTTTCGCCTTTGCTTTTTTGTAAATAGGATTAGTACATAAGTCGATTTATTTATTTGATCGTTTAATTATTTTGTATGTAACTAGTAATCAAGTAATATTTTAAGAACTAACCATTATTTGCTTTGATGTTATTCGATATTTATTTATTAAAAAAATATATATTTTTCCTAATTTCTTTAGTGAAACTAGTTTTAATATCGCTGCAATTATGCACCAATGACTATTTATAATGAATTAAATTTAAAAAAGCTGTTTTGCTATGTGTTTCAATGACGTCACTTGTTACCATTAGAGTTTACATTGATTATAAGCTCCGTAGTATACTTGTATGTAGTATAACTTTTAAGGAGAGCTTATTTTTAAAACTTTTAAATTAATGTTTCTGAAGTGGTTTAGATTTCCACAGTAAGTCAGTTATCGTCATACGTATAGAGCAAATGTAGTCAATTGTGAATTATGAAAAATTTGTTAATCTTGCAAGTGATTGCAAGGTAAATGAATATATATATGTTATAACTGTTGTTAACATTAATTTTAATTAAGCATGTTAAGTTTAGATATCATCATAAATACACACAGTAAATTGTATATGTATTTAAATATACATATTTCAGTCGATGAATTATTTATTTTCCATTTGTTAGTTTATAAAGACATGTATTTTATTTTATTTAGCTATAATATTTATCTAAAGTCCTAAATTACAAATATGTAAGTATGTAATTATTCAAATAAAATTAAAAGCTTCAGACAAATATTTATTTTAATTAATGGAGTATTTCTTTTGATAATACCAATTTGGCTAGATTTCGAAATTATAGGGGGGTTCCACTGTAAACCACCAATTTTTATTATATTCCGTTAGTTAAAAAAACAAACTTGCTTAGCTCTTTCCAGGAAATCAGGTATATTCGTCACTAATCGAAATGTACCTATAAGGTCTAGTGACAAAACAAAAATTATTCTATAGCGACCTTCGCCTAATAGATTAAAATCATCGATTTTCGACACAGTGTGCATACATAATTTCGCTAACCAACCTAATAAAACGAAAGCCACAAAACCAAGAAGAGAGAGGTCTTTTTATATCCTAAGCAGTTCCTACCGAGACGTATGAATCAATTTTCGATTATTAGAGTTACAATATGATATTCTTCGTAATACATATAGTGGATGGTACCACGCCCATTATTCAAAGCACTTTCTATATAACCCTACTAGATAGACTTAACGTTTATGACGTTATCGCATACGATTTAACTTAAAACCGATTGAATTCTCCCAATATAGGTATTTACCCTAAGCGCTCGGAACCGACCGAACATTATGTACTCTCACAAGTTGCTTAAAACACTTTCAAGTGTTGCAAAACTGTATATTACACAAGTAAGAAAGAGTTAAGTTCGGGTGTAACCGAACATTTCGTACTTTTGCAACTTGCCAGGATCAACGACGGGGAAATACCTTCAGGTGTATGCCAAACTTTATTTTAAAAATGTTTTCTGAGTTTCATTAAGGTACCTCACATACCATAACCAATATAACATATGTACAAGTATAAGGAGTAAAGTCAACTACATGTTTGAAAATCGTGATATTAGTTTTATGGGGTCTAGATGCACCGTTATTAGAAAAACTCGTACTCCCAATTTTATTAAGATTACTCATTTATTTACTGCTATATGCGGTATAAAGTCAGGCGAAAGTTCTTTCTATAATTTATATGGGGATAAGAAAATTATTGATCCTATTCAACCCACAGACATTATATTATAAGAAAAGAATTCTCTCCGAATTTCTATAACATATCTCACAAATTAACCGATATTTTCGGTAAAAAAGCGCAATAGGAACCGGGATCCACATATTCAGTATCTGGTTCCTTGAATAGTTTTGGTCCGACTTGAACAATTTTTAATCATTAGGTGACACACCTTAAAGGTACCATTAGTGCAGAATTTTTCCGGATACATTGATTGGTGCTTGATTTGTATACTGGAAAGTGATCGAATCAGTTAGAATTTTAAAATTGTGTTACATGGAATTTGGTTGAAATCGGTGTAGCAGCGGTGCCCCGCCCCGCGAATTTACCGATTTTCACAGGGTGAGTAGGGTTGCCAAAAAGATTTACCCTGAGCGGTTTGGTTATTATAGCTTGAATGGTTTAGGAGATATGTACATTAAACTTATTAGAGGCGGGCCACTTTTGAACAAATTTGTATTCCATAGATGCCCCTCGTTAACTCAATTCGTTGTTCTAAATAACAGTCTTGTAGATTATTGTGGAACTTAGATTTTTCGTGTTGTGAGCATGGCAATGGTCCGATTCCGCCCATCTGCAATACCAACCTTCTTGGGTGCGAGGGAACCTGTTTACCAAGTTTCTTCAAAATATCTAAATTTTTACTTAAATTATCGGTCACTCGGAATTCAACTTGTCTCGTTATCCTGATTATTTATATATATATATATATATATAACTCCATAACAATCTCGATTAGTTTTAGGTGATACAAGCAACAAAACTATTATACTCTGTAACAACATGTTGCAATGGTATAAAATATCAACATTCATTATTCCACGAAAATCTGAATACTCACCAGACGCCAATCCAATAGAGAATGTTTGGGCCTAAATGAAAGCCAAAATATCAAGAAAACATTTAACGTCTACAAAAACTTTTATTCGGCTACTGTAAGATATGGGGAAATTAGTTACAAGTTGCCACCAAAGATTGCTGGCTTTAATAGACAACGCGGGAGATTGGAAATCGTTAATTTTTGAACGCGCTGTGTATGGTCGTAGACTCACTTAGTTTTATTACTACAATATATAATATGTACATATTTTACCAATTTCATTCATATGCAGCGCTAAACCACATCATTTTTATTTTAATAAATTTATTTGAATATAACACATATTGCCAATCTAAACGGTTGGTTAGAAGTCCGAGATCACTATAGCGGGTATATTGCGGATAGGGGAAGTTTTGAACTGATTATCTTAACGTTAACATTACTGAAATATACACGAAACATGATTCCATTTCGTTAATTTTGTAAAGTTGATTCACAGACTGAACGACATATTCGGAGTCTTCCAAAATATCGATATGGTAACTGGGTAATTTGTCGACCGATTCCACACGTTTTCTGCATTAAACCATAGTATATCCCAAAGCTAGGTACATGGAAACTAGGAGAAGTATTCACTCGATTTTATATGTTTTAGGCTCAAGAGCATACTGTTATTAGAAAAACACGCTCTTAGAATTTCTTTAAAATAAAACCCAGATATTGACCGATATATTATATATAAGGAATGTATTGAACCGATGATATTTTTGGCATAACCATTCCCAACAAAAGATGCTGTCTGACTTTCAATAAGGTGCCTCACAGATTAACAGATATTTTCGATAAATAGTCAAACATAGGCACTGAAGTGCAAATATTCGCTATCTGGGATCTTAAACCTATTTCGACTTTTTCGATGTGAAATACCTTAAATACATTTTGTATGCAAAGTTTTATTTCGATAACTCCATTGGCTCTTGATTTAGTCGTATACACTGTAAAGTGGAAGTATTTTATGGAATTCAAAAATTTGATACCGGCTCTTATGACGTCCTTTCGTACCATCTTGGGTGTAAAACTTGATGTCTCTGACGCATTTACTTAGTGAAATATCACACTTTTAACTATAACCTTCATATAGGGGGTGGGTGCCGTTATAATCCGATTTCAAACATTTTTACAATACATGAAGCAGCGATAGAAAGATTTCTTTTCAGCATGTGTAACCAAATTTTACTGGTTATATATTATATGCTTATGAAACCTATTGAAGTGCGGGGCTACGCACAGTTTTTAAAATGTGAACCCGAAATGCCCATTTATACTGGGATGACTAACAGATGATAGATGATGTACTGATCAGTTATATACATATACAAGGTAAAATTCAAAAGTTCCAGGACTTTTTAAACTACGCGGCATCTAGCGGCGCCATCTGTCTGAAATTGTTGTCCCTCAATTGTGTATTCTTCAGTGTTGTCAAATAAAATTTATATAACAGCTGAGATATCGCGCTACATGTGACATTACGTTTGTAGTGTCGGTCGGAAAATGAGCATCGAACAAAGAGCCAACATTAAGTTTTGTTTTAAACTTGGTAAAACTTTTACCAAAACTCATCAAATGATGAAACAAGTTTATGGCGATGATTGTCTATACCGTAGCCGTATTCACGAGTGGTTTAAACGTTTTCAAGAGGGATGGGTGACTTGGAAGACGACGAACGTTCGGGCCGGCCAAAAGATGTTGAGAACGACAAAAACATGGAAATTGTGCGTGAATTTATAAAAAAAGAGCCGAAATCATCGCTTAAATATATGGAATCGGAATTATCAATATCCGCAGCGTGGATTTATCGTATTTTGACAGGAAATTTGGGCCTCAGAAAGGTTTGTGCTCGATTTGTCCCGCACACTTTGAAACAACACAAAAAAGACCTAAGAATTCAACATTCAAGAGACATCATTAAAGAGGCCAAAAAGGACCCAAACTTTTCGTATTCGATTGTGACTGGTGACGAAACATGGTGCTTGGAATATGAGCCATATGGCCATGAAAGGAAACCGCTATGCTGACGTTAATGCCATCCTCAACGCTATACCGACAAATGACCTAAAAAAGTCATTCGATAACCTTCTTGAACTAGCAAAACGTTGCATTCAGGCGGAAGGAGACTATTTTGAAGGTGAAAAATAAATTTTTCAAAAAAAAAAAAACAAATAATATTCGTTTTTTAAAAAAAGTGCTGAAACTTTTGAATTGCACCTTGTACAATAGAGCTTCATATCTATCTCCATTAGTTTTAGGTGATACGAAAGTTACCTTTTATATTTCAGGATTAAAGAACAAGAACAAATATTAATCCTCGAAAATCGCTTTATTGTTTTTCAAATTTTTCTTCAGTAATATATTTCTATGCACTTTTGATTAAGGTATCTCCAAAACAGGCGTTGTGAACTCATCAACCGCCTCTTCAGGTATCTAAAAACGTTTACCGCTTAGATAATTTTTTACATACGTGAATAAAAAGAAGTCATTCGGTACCAATCCAGGACTATACGGTGGATGACACATGAAATCGATGTTTTGAGAAAAATGATGTTGTTTCAGTCGATGTGTGAGAGTTTGCATTGTCCTGCTAAAGAGTGATCCGTCTTCGGCGGTTGGTTTTCCTGATTTCTTGAAAGACAACTCGCAAACAAATAGTTTTGTACCACTCAGAATTTACTGTTCTGCGTTGTTCTAGTGATATGTCTATGGTATGTTTTTGCAAAAAAAACAAACAACTTTTGTTAAATTCGGCTTATCTGAGAACACCCATACAGTCTGATACTGTTTACTTTCGGGCTCATACTCGTAAATCCGCGACTTGTCACGATGTCAAAGGCATGTTTCGAAGAACCGCTATTGTATTTTTTTAACATTTCTCACGACCAATTGATACGAGCCTGTTTTTGAGCTATAGACAAATTGTGTGGGATCCAACAGGAACAAATCACAAATAGCGCTCATATGTCGAAACGTTCTAAGTATGTATAACCTGAAAAATGTCAAACTTTACGATAAAATTTTAAGTTGCCAGATTTTAACAGTGAGGTTGCCTAATCCCAAAATATAAAGCAACATTCGTACAAACAATCGGTAGGTGAACAAAACTATATACTCTGAAGCGGGAGTATAACATT